ATAGAAAAATAATTTTTGATGTGATAAACAAAGTGTAGCATGCTTGTTTTTTAGTTAGAAATAATTATAAGAGAAAAATTGGCCAATATTTCAATACATATTATGTTGTTATAAAAAACTTACAAGGAATAACTGAGAATAAATTTTAAGAATTTTACCTTAAAAACTGTAATGAAATAAATTGACCAAGCAAAAATTGAATGGCACAACCATTCTTGAGAGAAAAAATTCCAATTCAAAGCTACGCAGGTTTGTGGGTACTATTGGAAAATAGTAACTGAGATCTAAATAAAGTTAGTCACATCAATCCACAATCAGTAATTTAAAAATTTTCTGAACTCTGCACTCTAAACTCTTTCAAAGTTTCTAACTTTAAGATAATATAGATAAAAGTTTTTTTTAGAAAATAAACGATTAATAAACAAACTCTAATAGAACTCTTACCTTTGATGGATAACTCATGTGATCTTATACAGTCATGTACATAGAACTATACAGACGAACTCATGTGTCACAATAGTGGTATTATGATTTAGAGCCTAAAAAAGGTTTCCATTACTAATTATATGGAACTGTTTCATCATCTTATGGAACGATATGCCCACGAGAAAAAAACTGAAACGGAAGAGCTTTCTGACTCTGGACATATAATTTTTGCTGATAATTCATAGCTGATTGGTAAAAAATTTGAGGCAAATTATCAAAAAATTAAAAAATTTTTGAAAAATTCTTCTATTTTAACATGCTAACGAATCAGCTTTTAGTTCGTTAGTATCTATGTTTTTGTAGAGCGCGCGGTGGCTCAGTCGGCTAGGTTGTGGATTGGCACGGGGGGAACTGCGGATTCGATTCCCGGCCAGTGCGACTTTCGGGCAAGTACCTCTGTAAGTCTCACATGTGCTTTTTCACCACGCAATGCTCCTCGAGGAGGGCTTAGGCGACCTCCTCGCAGCAATAATTGCCTAATTTCCCCCTACCCCCTCCCAGTAACGGGAGGCCTCCCATCCCTCTTCCCTTCCTTCTCCCAAGTGCTAAGTGCCCATAGTAGTGCCCTTATTAAAAGGAGCCGGACGTAGAGCTCTATAATATAAAAAAAAAAAAATCTATGTTTTTGTATTAAATAAATACAAAAACATTTATACCCATGGAAAGCAGTTGATGAAAGAATAATCTATTCCACTTCAATACGAATACCATTTGCAAACGTAATTAGACTTGAATGGCTTCCCAAATATCGAAAAATAGCAATTTTTCTAAAAACAGAAGACATGTAAGTCTGATAGATCAAACGTGATTAATAGCATTAAAAAAGACTTACTTGAATTTTTTAGTAGCTTCGAAAATTTGGTTGAAAACTGGACCCCCTCAAAGTCCACTAATAAGTCTAATGAAAAAGAGTACATCCACTTCATTTTGTCCATCCTAAAAATACATGATTTTCAGTAAAAATTCGAAATACAAACAATCAGTAAAAGAAGTCCTGAGCATGTAAAAATTCTTTTTACCATGAAAATCACATCAGCTTAAGTAATTTTTGAGTACAGGAAAACAGGAAACATAAAATTCACGGTTTTTCAAACTTTGAAGCAATGGTGACAACATGAGACAATCACACTATTTTTATAATTTTAAGTTATCGTATACTAAAAATAGATTAGAATTCTGTTGAAAACTGCGCTTATTAGTAAGCAAGTATACATGTTTTTTCAAAGTCTACGAAGTTTGTAAGTAATAGTTACTGAAAAAATACGTTTAGTTCAGTTTTAGGAAATATTTAAGAAATTATCACGAATATGGTAGGTACAATGCTTCGTGATCAGCATACATTATATATGATTTAGTTCTTCATTCAGAAATAACTTCGTAAAGATACAAATAATTTTTACTTAAGTAATGACGCAGACCTCGTAACGATTAATGTATAGGTAACTAATTAAATGACGCGTAGCAGAAATATGTCTGAATCTTAAAGTTTGTGCCATCTACAACAAACAGTAATTTGTATTCCTCAAAAGTCGAAGAAGTGGGGCTGCAAAATCCTGTGTCCTCTGCTGGATTAGCTTTTTGCATGGCTTTTGCTTTGTTTGTTGACAATTTAAGCTTTCTCTTAAAAACTGAAAACATAATTAGATTACCTACTATACCCGAGCGTTAATTTTTTTCCTACCATTGAAAGTGTTATATTAGATTACACATTAGAATAAGGACCACGACACAGCTACAGAATATTGTTTGGGAAAGTAGCTGACTCCTCAAGTCCTTTGTGGTATCTTTTATACTGTCGTGTGTTGTAAAAAACCGTGATACTAAAAAATTTATAGCCACTATATGAATTTTTGGGTCCATGTTGTTTAAAGCCGTCGCCACAGCAATTTCAGTGGGCCTAAACTATTCTGCCACTAGCGCTGTGGGTAGCGAAAACGCAAATGTGCGACAGATGCTCACGAGTGTCTGTCCAAGTAATATCAAAGTAAAGTAGTTGGGTGCAGCTCCCAGGTATTTTATCCGCGTCCCCAGAAACGTTGAAGTATCTAGCTATATTATTAATGAAAAAATATGTTTTTTAAACTTTATTCTTAAAAATGTTGCAATTAGTTAAAAAACATTTGTACTTACCTTCTCATGATATTGGAAATAACAGTGAAATCGTTTTATTGAGAAATTTTTCTCATCGTGAATAAGGTGAACAGTAGTAATATCAGTCATCGTTCTTTGTATACTTTAATTTTCAAATTATCCCTTGGCTCATCCCTGTTTTTCACAATATCCATGGATACTTTAATTGCGCTGATTCTATATCTGGACTTTGATTGACCTTTATATACAGTTATCATTTCATTGGTCAAACAATTCCACAGAATTTGAAACAACGAACATACAACTTTGTAGTAAGTACACTGTAATCGTTAAAACTAATGCTTTGGTGTCATTGATCAGCTTATCTATCACTTAACTGTCCAGTATTTATCAGTTTTCTAATCGGTTACATACATACATTAGTTCAAACGTTTGATTGTGTTGATTTTTAAGTGCTAGCAAGGCACTTGGGGGAGGTGGAACACTTAAAAACCGTTTTGTAGCTAGCACTGGTCGTATTATTTTTGTAACTTGCATTCTTTTTGAGCGGATGTGATAAAGCAGCATGTGTTTCATACTTTTGCATTTAATGCTGTCTGTGCAAGATTTGTCTCAGATTACTCAGTCAGTGAGGCTGTCGAGAGGTTTTAGGTTGCAGATTGCAGGCTGCTTCATGTTTAAACCGCGGGATTTATCAGTTCACGTCATCCCGCGGCTGGTCGGGTCGACAGATTCATTTTCGATTCCTCACGCCCTTTTTCTCAATATTCTACGTAGACTCATTTGGCACGCACGATTGCACCACAAGTAACAAGGCGCCGTTTGAGAGACAAGCGTTGAGCTCAGCGCGTGACTAATTTACAGGGATAATGAAGGCTGGCCCTCGTTGCTGGAAACGCAGCAAGCCCTGCTAGAGGTTCTCGCGGAATTCACTCAATCCGCCAAGAGCGTTGAAGAATGGAGCATGGGTCTCGTCGACGCCAGGTTCGAGCTACTCGCTGATTATTGGAATGACTTCCAAGCCAATCATAAGGATCTGATTGAGGGCGCATGTGTGGACAAAGTTGCCTCCTTGAGAGCCCTGTACAGGTACGCAGAGGGATACTACCTCGATGCTAAGGCGTGCCTGTATGACGCTAGGAGTCGGCTGTTCCCGACCATGCCAGGAGGTGGTGGCCAGTTACCACTCCCCGGACCACTCCCTGGACCGCACTCGGGCCCTCGCCTGCCGAGCATCAATATCCCGCTCTTCTCTGGCCGTTGCGAGGATTGGCAGTCTTTCCGCGACCTGTTCCAGGCGCTCATTCACCAGGATGCTCGGACCACTGACGTCGAGAGGCTTTACTACCTAAAGGCAAACGTGCAGGGTGAGGTAAAAGAAGTTCTGGACACCTTGCAGCTCATTGGCTCCAATTATTCCACGGCCTGGAGTCTTCTTGTCTCTTGGTTCGAGCATCGCCGCCTCCTTGTGCAGGACCACGTCATGGCACTCCGAACGCTCAAGCCTCTGCGCGAGGAGTCCGCTGCTGGTCTGCAGGGCTTGTTTGATGCCTTAGGAAAGCACCGTGATCAACTGCGAGCGCTCAATCAGCCGGTGGAACATTGGGATGTGTGGATGGTCTCTTTTGCCTCGACTGCCATGTACCCCTTGACTTGGAGAGCCTGGGAAGACGAGCTCGAGAAGTTGGAGGCAGCCAGCTCTGGACAAGGTGAAGCGGCTTCCTTCGCCACTTTGTCCAGCTTTCTGTGGAGGCGTGGCCGCTCACTGACTTTAATGTAAGCCTGGCGCCGTCCCCGATCGACGAACGATCCTGTGCGCTCGACCGGCAGTCGCCCTCCTGCGCCGACGCCACTCGGCCGCAACCACCGATCTTTAGCCACCCACGCAGTCAACGATGACTGCCCTGCTTGCCACGCACCGCACTACGTAGGTCACTGCAGCCGTTTCCTGGAACTGGACGCGCTTGGGCGAAGGGGTTTCGTCGCTCAGCACAAGCTGTGCTTTAACTGCCTGAAGCCGGGCCACATGGCCACTGTCTGCTCTTCCCAAGGCGTGTTCCAATATTGCAAGGCGCGGCATCACAGCCTCATCCATGATGGCGGTCGCAAGCGCAGGGCCGCGCCCGACCCAGCACCAGCTGAGGCAAAGCAGTGTCTCTTCACCTCGGACTCCAAGGACGGGATCGACGCGGCAGCTGCTTCACCGTTGTGACTAGCCATCTTGCCCACGCTCAAAGTTCAGCTCATGGGCCCCGGGGGGCGGACAGCCACAGCAAGAGCACTCGTCGACGCTTGTTCGGAGATTTCAATCACGTCCACTGCACTTGCTCAAAAGCTTGCAGCCAGACGCCACTAGTCCAACACGTATGACGATCCCTCGATTGGAGCTACGAGCGGCACTTCTCACAGCGAGGCTGCTACGCATGGTTGCCGAGGAATATGCTGAGAGCGTTGAGCACTGTCACGCCTGGAGTAACTCCCAGATCGTGCTTCACTGGCTCCGATCATCGGAGCCGACAAACAACTCATTGATCGACAGTTACGTGGCTCACATCCAGGAGCTTCTGCCCTCCCACGTATGGAGATATGTTCCGACGGACTCTAATCCAGCAGATGTGGCGTCCCGGGGGACGGATCTGTTCATGCTTCAGCAAATGCGTGCTTGGTGGGAAGGCCCTTCTTGGCTCGTGGGCCTTCTTGACTTGTGGCCAGCCGAAAACGCAAAGTTGCCTAGCTCCTGCAACCCAGTCACCGACGGTGCCCTCCAATCTTGTTGTGCTGTTCAATGCACTACGCCAAATCTGCTCGAGAAGTTCTCAGACCTTGGCCATCTCCTACGCTTCCTCGCTCGACTGCGTCGCTGGATCCGTCGTCGGCTACGTCGAGATCCCGCTCCCTCGCCTTTCGCCCCTCTGACGACGATTGAGCTGCGCGATGCCTACCTCGCCTGCGTCCGCCTCAGCCAGCGACAATTCTTCGCGCTAGAGATTGCGAGCTTGCAAAAGGGCGGCCGTGTCCCTGCAAAAAATCCACTGCTGTCTCTAGACCCGATCTTCTCCAATAACGTCCTTCGAGTTGGCGATCGTCTCCAACATTCTGCGCTCACCTTCGATGAGCAGCATCCGCCAATCCTTGACAGCCGATGCAGCCTCGCTCGGCTCATTATCCAGTGTGCTCATGCTCGTGCTCTTCACGGAGGAGTCAGTGTCACCAGCACTTATGTGGCTCGCAAGGCCTGGATTGTTGGCGGGTGGCGGCGAATCAAAAGCATTCTCCAGGGATGCGTGGTCTGCGCCCGACTGCAGGCGCGGCCTGCCACTCAACACATGGCACCTCTACTGGCCTCACGGGTTACTCCTGCTCGAGCTTTCTCTCGCACTGGAGTTTACTACGCTGGCCCATTCAACATTTTGTCTGCTAAGGGCCGAGGCATCCGCACAAGCAAGGGCTACGTCGCGATCTTCGTCTGCATGACCACCAAGGCGTCACACCTTGAGAGCGTTGGTGATTTCTCTACCGAGTCATTCATTGGAGCGCTCACAAGATTCTGCGCCAGGCGCGGTCGGCCCTTAGAGATCTGGAGTGATAACGCCACCTGATTCCGCACCGCAGACCGTGAAATTCGCGAGGCTCTCCAGGATGCCGAAATAAAGTGGGAGCGTGTTGCTGGCTCACTGGCTGAACAAGGCGTCACGTGGCACTTCATTCCTCCACGGGCGCCCCACTTTGGCGGACTATGGGAGGCCGGTGTCAAAGTAATGAAACATCATCTCTGTCGTGCCCTTGGACCGCACAACCTCACCTACGAGGAGTTTTCCACCGTTTTGGCCAGCATCGAGGCGGTCCTCAACAGCCGCCCTCTCACTCCATTCACCGGAGGCTTAGATGATCAGAAAATCCTCACCCCTGGACACTTCCTCGTCGGTGGCCCGTCGAATTCTGTGCTTGAGGCCAGTACCCCGCCCGAGAAGCTCGATCGCCTAAGTAACTGGAAGCTGGTCCGGGGAATCCGAGACCAGTTCTGGAGCCGCTGGAGCCGCGAGTACTTGAACACGCTCCAACAACGACCCAAGTGGAAGGTCCCACATCGTAATTTCCAGGTTGATGACGTCGTCGCGGTGGTGGACGCCACGCTCCTCCAGTCTAGTGGCACGTGGCCACTCGGTCGCATCATCTCGGTTCATCCCGGACCCGACGGGCTCGTTCGCGCCGCCACCATCCAGACCGCCACTGGTGAATACACCCGTCCCATCAGCAAGCTCTCGCTACTGCCCGTCCGATCGCCTAGTGCCGGCGACGCCACCTCTAAAGACCCTGTGGCCGAATCTGACCCTGGTACGGTGGGCGGAGACTGAGATCGTTCACGGAACGAGGCGGGCGGGTTGTGCAAGATTTGTCTTGCGCGCCCATGCCCTCCCCTCCCCCTCTTTCTGCTCAAAGAAGAGGGAGCTGCTGCTCGCTTGGTCTCTGCCGGCGCGAGCGAACTGATTATTCGAGAGGAGCCAACGTGTGTGCACGCCTCGACATCCTGCTTCGCTGGGGACTCTCAAATTGGACCTCCACGTCGATCTGCCTACTCTAAAATATCTGTTACAGCTGATCTGCCGATCTTGTATTTACTCGACGTCCTAATAAAGAATAATTTAAATACTGTCTTTATTAGCCAAGCTGAAATGGGTGACAGCTTTATGGGATCTGATGATCACAAACAATGGAAGAAAAAGTAAAAATTTAACATTTAGCTCATCGTTATCATACTCTGGCTCGGGACAAAAATAATAAACGTTAAAAGAAATAATTGCATTGCTACGAACATTCTGGAATGTTATTAGAGTTGACCTTACGACTTATACTTAAATTTATTTTTCAAGATAGAAAAACATGTAATAAGTTAGTGGTTAGAAGTTAGAAGGAAAACATATAAGAAAATGAACGTCAAAAATTTTCAATGTTGTTACGTGTGTAATGCTATTTTAACTCCTTTTTTTCAAATCCTTATGAATTATTAAAAACTGTTTCTAATGATAAATATAACCATGCCATGGTTTCTCAATAAAATAATCGTTGCTGCGTGGTAACAACTTTAGTAAGCTTGCCCTGATTGGGAAGTAATTATTACTAAACAATCTTGTATTGAAAAATTTCAACGTGTACCTGCCAGTCCGTATCTTTACAGTTGTGGAATCTATAGATAAGTACTTTTTACCTATTATTGATGCAATGCTACGTTATGTTATCAGCATGTAAAAACGTCAAAGAAATATCGTAATATGTTTGAAGTAAGGTTTGCTTATTAACCAATTTCAATTTCAATTATCAATCAGCTTATCATTTACAATGAAAAGGTCTTAGAAATGCACTTGACTACGTTATCATATCATGTGTATGAGAATAAATATGATTATACTGTGTAAAAAAATCAATTTTTTTTTTTCGTACCAGGCACTGAAAATAACGTATACATCCCTACTCAAGTAGACATAACTGAGTGCTGCATGTATTTACAAAGTTAGAAAAGTTTGTAATTTTAAAGCACATTTAAAATGTATTTTAAATTTAAATTAAAGATCAGGTAACTTTTCAATAAAAATTGTAATTAATATAAATATGTTTAAACTTCTCATATGTTACTTAAAATACAACGTGTTTTTTAAAATTCAAACAATTTTTCAAATTAACTGAAAATTTCAATGTAATTAATTTTAATACTTTTATGTATAATTAATTCAAAAGCATTTACTGTAATAATCACAAACTATCTTAAAAATCAAAACATTTTGAAAAATAAGCTTATGTTTTAAATCTTAATTATTACAAAGATAAGTACTACTCTTTGTTAAGAATGGTAATACTATAATATAACATTGAATTTACAAGGAGATTTTTAACCGTACGTTGCATTTGTATTTATTCTACGTCCTTAGGCAAAAAAACATTGGCAATCAGCAACCTAACCGATTTGTGGTGAAAGTTAGTTAAAAAAACATATCCTCGAGTGAGCAAGTACATTATTTATAATCTGTTTCCTTAGGCAACGAAGCATCAGCGATTGGAAATCCAACTGTTTTTATTGTGTTTTTTAGTGTCATTTCTGTATAATCCGATTCCATAAGTGTACAAGCATCGGCGATAAAAAACTTAACTGAATTTTCACATTAATCATTAATAAAATGTTGTCTTTGGCGAGTAAGCATTTGTGACAGAAAACCCAACATGATTTAAGTGTAAGTTACTTATGAGTTGTGTTCTTAGACAAGCAAATATCGGTGATCAGAAACCCAACTATTTTTAAATATTACTTATTAATAACCTGTTTCCAAGACTTTACCAGAGCCTGGTATTTTAATTCGTTCTGTGATAATTAGTGATCGTTTTTCATATTCTTCTGATACTATTCTCGTAGCTTAATGGTAAGTCATTTGACTAGAATGCCATAGGTGAGGGTTTGGCTCCCCAGATTGTCAGAACTTATTAGAAATAATAATCTGTTTTCAATTAAATTATCAAGTATACTTGTATCGATAACTATGATAAATAAATAAATAATAATGTTCTCAGGCATGTAAATGATTAATTATCAATGATTATGTGAGGTATCAGTTCAGATAAAATATTAAATGTATCAAAAATATCATTAATTCATTATACTACACAGACCCCGTACAAACGAAAATAGTATCCCAAAATATTTATAGAAAAAGACATAACTAATCATAAAACTTTTTCCTCTTTTCGGATTTCAAAACTAGTAAGAGTGTATTTTTTGAGTACGAGTGAAAAAAAAAATAGGTCAAGTTCATTTGATAATTTGGGATAAAGCTTTCATGATTCCAGGAAAGCCTAGTGATAGAAGACAGAACTTTGCGTGAACTGGACATCCCTGGAAAATGTAAAATCAATTATACGTGTTTCAAAATAATTAGTGGAAATAATACATTTTTATTTAATAGTGTTATTTTAACTTCTCATAATAAATACACTTAACTTTAAATAACAAACTTTTAAATCTACTAAAACGAAATACGATAGCTTATCATAGCATAGATCATGCACCTAAAACGATGACGATAAATTGAAAGACATTAGTATAAATTTTTCTATTAATGTACTAAAAAATATTCCTAATGGTTTGCAACACCGTCAACTAAGTTAAAAAGTTGTAGCAATAATCATGTTCAAAAAAATGTAAGTATAGCTGACTCTTCGTGCAATAGATTATGGTTAATAATCACAAAAATTATTTGAGTGTAATATTAAAACTCAAATTATAATAGAAGAAAAGCATGTAATAAAGTTTTTATATTGAAAATCACTGTTAATGCAAGTAATACCTTGTTATTACCTTTAAGTGTTGCAGAAAGCAATTTCCTAAGGTCTTAGCATTTGCTCAAAGTAAAGTTTTGACAAAGTAGGTTTATACTTGAAAAAGCTTTTAAATTCTCACTGACAGTTACACGTATCGTTATCAAGATGCAAAACTGAAGAACATACGATTATGCAAATCGATTGTAAAAGTCATTTGGAATTGGAAAATTTTGTTTGGGAAGAAATTTTTAAATGATAGAAAATACACTTTTTGATAAGAAAAAAATTAACAAATTAAAAGTAATCATATATATTATAACATTATTTAATATTTGCATATAACATGACACATTAATATTTTATTATGTTACGTTGAAAATCATTATAGCAAAAATTTTAAATTCACGTAAATATTTATACTGTTTTTTTAAATTAAAGCATATTTTAATTTTTTCAGCAAAATTTGTTCATTTTCGTAATTACTTCGTATACGGATGAAGAAACAAAACTTTAAAAGAAGCTTATTCACAGATTTTGTACTGAAAATGTAATCGTGTGAAAACCGTAGTAGTATACACAATAGTAACCTTTAAGTAAAAAATAAACGTTCTTAGTATATGTGTATAAAAAAGAATAGGTTGGAGACAGACGAATTTTTAAAGAAATAGTTAAATGGTTGTACCATATAATATATTTTCATGTTATATAATTGTCTTACAAGTGTTGAATATCGTGCATTAATACAAAACATTAAATATGTATATGACTACATTGATTAGAGCAATTATAAAGCATTTGTAAAATTCAAAGAGTAAAAAATTATGAAAATTCTAGACGTAACTAAAAATTATGTTAATGGTAAATACTGAAGTCTTATGGAAGCAGCATGTAAATTGCAAAAGCTTCCAATTTGTGGTAGAAAACACAAAATCGTGAATTTACCCGTACATCTTGGAAATAAGCAACAATTAATATTCGAAGAAAGTAAAATTAAAAACACAATGAAACAATGCCAGACTCCCTTAACAGCTTTATTCAAGTCAAAGAAAACTAATGATTTTGGAAAATCTTTGAAGTACGTGAACGTTTCAGAAAACTATATTTTTCATAATAATCTTAAAATTTGAGTGAGAAGAAAAAATGTAAAAAATATAGCAATAGAAAGATTAAATATAGTATCTTCTAAAGATCATGCAGAATTTTTTTAAAGTTACTATGAAACAAAAATCGTTAAGCATTATCGTTCTCAGATGTAAAAGCACATAAAAATATTACTTATAAATGTTTAAGGATACTGCAATTGCTAAAAAGTGGAAAAAGGATGCAGAGTTATGCTTCCTTTTAAATTACGACAATTTTGGCATGATTTTTTATTTCAAAAAACACTTAAGGTGATGATATATAGTTAAAAAACATAAAATGTATTTTATAATATCTTGTATTTATAATGAAGAATACAGTTCTATTCTACACATAAATTAAATCCTTAAGTTGGAAGACGCATCCTGCTTATCGTTTAATTTACCGATTGTTAATAAAATTAGCTTAAATCCAAATGATATCACTAAAGAAATTGCACTGTGTAAGCACATCTTAATTTAATGTATCTTTAGTTAAATGATAATCAAAAAAACATTCTTAAAACTATGTAAGCTGACTAATGGGACGTTTCTTACTGATTGTCCCGGGGAATTAAAAAGAACTTTTTTCTACAAAACATTGATTTATTACTTGATTGTTTGAAGTATAAAAATTTCATTAATGGCTTGGACTGGCATTGCATCGGTATTGCTTTCAAAAAGAATGACCAGTCACAGAACCTTCTGCTTACTTTTTGACTTGGACAATATTAAGAGTGTATTTTTAGAGATGGAATCTGAAAAAAAATTACGAGAAGTTGGTTTAATAATTTGAGGTGATAAGCCTGAATAAGCCTACAAAATTAAAAAAGCCTTCAAAATATTAGACAGGACTTTGAGTGATCTATGCAATACAAACATACATTTTAGAAACAAATTAATGGTTTTAGGAGGATATTTTCGTCAAATTC